AGGGAAAGATGTCAGATGGCTGTCAGTCTTGAGAAAACCTTTTCCCCTTCACTATATTGCATGAAGTATCTCCTATGAGTATTCTTTCAGCTGATGCTGTGCAAGTGACGATACAGAAGGGAGAGCAGTACTTTCCACAGCATCATTCCAGCCTTTCAGCTCTCTGCAAGGAGTGTGGATGATAATCAGCATTTATCCTGCCAGGGTGAAGTTACACTGGTTGCTCTGAAAGTCATGATGAGAAGCAAATGTAGTAGGCAGCCAAAAACCACCATAACCTAAGGGGGCAATTCTTCAAGAGCTAACCTGCTCGGTCAGCCTGAGGCAAAGGAGATAGCGCAGAGGTGTAGGGTCACAGCACACACAGCACTGCTCACTGTCGCCTAATGACTGGCGTCTGCTCGTGGGTTTGCATTCTTTCACTCCTCAGTGGAGAATGCACAGGACATCATCTGAGGAGAAAACACCTCGCTTCCCTGACACCATAAAGGTTTATGGAAGCACCATGCTCCCAGTCTGGTTTGTCTATGTATTTTGCACGACAGGGAGCAAGCCCTCCTTTGGTTGTGTTTGACTACACCTTTAATAAACAGAGGAAAGAGAATGTATACTTTTAAAACTATTGCTGAATGGCAGTGTTATGTATTTTTATAAGCATGTGTAACTGATGGCACTTTTTGAAATTCAATGCTTTTAGCAAGTTTTTGGAAAAGTGACGTTTAAATGAGCTTATGATCTAAACAGACCACACAGGGACAAGAATGGAGCAGGGAAAGGATACAGACGGAAACAGAACAGGAGCAAGCACTTGTGTTAAGTGGATTCAAAACACTTTTAGTGTAAAAAGTGTTCTCACACTGTAGGCGGGGCACAATCCTATCCAGTAGCAAAGACAAACTTTGCCGATGGCCTCAGAGGAGCGGGATCCACCTTTGTGTACTTATCTTTCTTGAACTGACCGTTACAAGTAAATCTTCAGTGAAGATGACCTTAAGTAATTCATTATGCTCAGTGCACTTAATTAGCAGTAAAATATGTCTTCAGTGGCCCCTAAATACTACCTGCATCACAAAGAGGTTGCCTTCAACAGAGGGTCAAACAGAGTTTATACTGGTTGCTCTGAAGTCACTACACAGCTGCCTGTAAAAAAAGGCCTTTAGGGTAGTTTTCAGTGTGACCAGAACGTATTGCTGAAAGGATGGTTAGCCAACCGATGAGTGAGAGGACATGATCTGATAGCTCTGAAAAGGTTAGGCAGACACCCTCTGTGGCCTAGGTACAGAAAGCATTTTTTCCCAATGTATTGATTTTATAACAATAAGAATGGATAAATAAACCCACAGAGCCACATTTCACACCTTGCTAGCAAACTACAACAGGCCAAGTCTAGCTTTTCTTAATTCAATAAAGTTCTACCAAGGATGAATCCAATTAATGTTTGCCACTGACAACTGTAATTGAAAGGTACCTGCTGTGCTGCCATCCTACCACTCTACTCACTCACAATAACTGAAAGCAGCATAGTTAATTGAATGGCACATCTACACAGAAAGTGTTAACAGAGCAGGACTCTTCTATTACCTGCAACTTACTTTTGGGGAGACTCAGAAGTGAAATAAAAACTCATAATGCAGCATTTTCCTCGAGGTGCGTATGATGGCATTGATGGTCTTTGATGGTTATTCTCAACACACAGTTCAATTTATAAGCCTTAATAAGGACTGGAAATTACTTAATATGGACTTAAAAACTTTAGAGGTTGAACGAACTGGCACTGAAGTGAAATAACTGGCCAAAGGATGCCTGATAATAAAAGTAGCTTTCTCTTGTTTCCATGCCACAAGGCCCATGTAGAATATTCACTTATTAATCTGCTTACGGTTTTCTGAGAATCATCCTCATATGAGCATCTGGTCCAATCTGAGACAGAAGCAGCATAGTGTCCTGTAGCTCCTCATCACACTCCTTTTTCTCTTCCTCAGTTGGCAGAGGGGCATCTTCACGCTCATCGTCCAAAAATCGATAAAATAAGTATTTGTCTTGAAAGTGGTGTTCCTGATCCACTGAAAACATAACACATCAAAGACTAAGCTCTCCTCATTAAAGTTAACCTTGTAGAAATCTGTGTAGTATCGTACACATTACAGATATATTGGTTAAGAAGGGAAAGAAAGGTACAGAGAAACTGCAAGAGTATGAAACACCTTTATTTCTCACATATGTCCAAATAATGTAGCTTGGAGAGTACACTTTTAAATTCTGTACTACAAATACTTTCCAAAAGGCTTCTATATACGTGTGTTGTGGGTGTGTATACATACGTGTTGGGGGGGCGCATGTGTGTTTTTCTTATTAGATCTGGTTTTATTCTTATTGTTTCAAACCACTTCATTTAAGCAAACAATTCACACTGGAGAAATGGTTACATCATGAATTTCTAAGAGGTGTTCTCCAGCACGAACACCGTGCCCTACATGTTTCATACAGGGCTAAAACGTAACAAAAGCATCTAACCTCTTTCTGATGTACCAGAAATGTACATCATCAAGATACAATCCCAGGAGCAAGTTCATTGACCTACTTGAAGAACTTAATGGGAAGACTACCAAGAGAAGACTTCTAAAGAGAGATTATGATACGGCAAAGGACAAACCCTTGGTCTTCCAAGCAAGTCAGAGTGATCTGTTGAGTTGAATACTGTGATGCAGCTTGCAACAGCATTCTCCTGGGAGTTCAAGGGAATATTTGGCAGGAATTGAAGCTAGAGCCCTTAGGGTAAAGAATCAGTGGAAACAATCTGTCTTTTCAGTGTGGAAATTTCTCCCTGGGATATGGGAAGCACAACAGAGGATAAATGGAAGTGTATTGCAATAGAGCTGCTCTTCTAAATTTAATAAAACTGTACATGCAAAGCTTCAAATATGAATATTGCTTTAGAAAGCTACCCTTTTGAGGGCTATAATGTCCTGTCACCAAGTAAATCCTGCCAAATGGAAACTGAAAATCAATGTAAAATACAGTCAGAAAACGATCATAAAATCCCAGATCTCTGCACTGGAATATTTGGTGTGCTGAATTTTGGAATGATTCTAAACCCACTGAAAATCATCCCAAAATTTTGGATCTGAGCAAACACAAATGCTCACATTCACTTCCAAATGCTGGAAATCTCTGATGAAGATCAGTTTTGTGTATGGTAATACATCTCTTGGTTTTGGCCTGAGTGCTATATAGCTCTTGCAATACAATGACAAGCGAGCGTACTCCTAAGTATAATTAGAGTTATTATAAATTGTTCATTTACTTTTCAATATTCTCCTAAGTTAAAAACAGATATTGGTAGCAAGATTCATGTAATACTGTTTGTGTGTTGCACTTGCACTTATGAATGAACAGGTTGCTCTGCAGCGTTTCTTTTGGGATCATGATCCCTTTCTTTTTCATGAAAGAGACCTACAGAGGCACTGATGTCACACATTGCCCATGTTGTAGTCAAGATGCTGATTTTCTTTATCTTACCATGGTTAAGAACACCTTCTTCCAGCAGTACTTGCCACATGCCAACAGCCTGGGTTCGTGAATGGACACAAGGACTTTGCTGCATCATCCAATCAACTAGTTCTGTCCCCACACAGCATTGCCTGAAGGACAAATACATACATAGAAATGAAAAGGGAGCTAGCCAAGAGATCACACAGAGTGTCTGCCAAGAACAGTGATATCTTAAACTCTGTATAACCTTAGTCGAATCTCCTTACAGAAAACACAGTGTCACCATCTACGTATATATGCTTGAAATTCCAGTGAAGGTGTTCAGTTTTGAGAGGATCACCTCAGCAGAACAACAAGTGTTCTGGAAAATGCAAAGTTCAGAGGATCAGAGTGACCCTGTATCACCCGGTATAAAACCTGTTGCACCAGCACAACAACCTCCAAACCAGATTTCAAAGAAAACCTTCTCTGTATACCATGGGATATCAAAAGCCTCATGCCTTTCAGAATCCTGCAGGCAAACAATCATCTAACACTGTAAAAGCTCTGCCAATGAGAACAGCCTCTATAGGAAGAGTGAGTGTTATGCGGGTGTTCCTCCATTTGTAACCAAACTCCAGCCACACCGTATGTAGCGACATCGGTTTGTAGGACTACAGCATTTCTGAGGCTCCCTCATGCTAGGTGCTGGTCCCCCCGCAGCTCCTGATTGACCCAGGGGCAGACAATGGCAGGCCTCAAGTTCTGGAGAATGCCCAAAGAGGGGGAAAAAAGCCATGTGGTCACTAAGTAAAATTCTTTGTCATAACATTCCCTAGCTCAGCAGAACAGAACCAAATAAGCAATCTGGTGATCGAAAACTTACAAATCTATAACTGATCACATGTGGAACAGAGAGGAAGCTGGCTAGCCCTTCTAGACAGGCTCTTGTGGCTCTACACTTCTTGCATCACTTTCAGAGACCGAAGAAATAGGTAATGCTGAAATTACTGAAATCTAGCTTAAATAATGCTCTTCCAATTAAAATCCCATTTTGATTACAAAACTTTCCCTCACCTGGATCCAATCTAAATTTTGGCATTCCATTAAAAAAAAAAAAAAAGATTAGAACAGTAAGAGTTTTTCCTACTTATGTATAAGATAAAATGGTGCTGCTGTTTGGACAGCATTGGTCTTCATTTATCATACATGCTCTTTTGTTCTTGTAGATATCACGATATATTCTCAGATCAATTCACAAGCTCCAAATACCTTGCATCATCTTAAATACATTTTGGACTGGAATATGGAAAATCAATGCACTTATCTCAAAAGCAGATCAGCAACATATTGATTTACTATTTAGAAGAATATATACTCAGAGATTTTAAACCAATTTTTATTTAAATATACTCTGAATAATTCATTAGGTATTTGATTTAAACATCAGACACAAAACCAAATTGATTGTTCCTTAAGCCAGCAGTAGACAGATCCTGACTCCTTGAAGTCAGATTCTTATTCTACAAGTGCCATTGTTATCCCACTTCAGCAAGACAGTGCTGCCACCAGCAGGAAGATAAGAAAGCCTGGCAATACACTGAAAAAAAAAATTAAATATAACAGAAAACATGCATAAGGAATGTTTCACACCAGGTGAATTTTCAGAACTCCACACTGAGCAACACCACTGTAGCAATCAGTACAGTAGCATAATACATTAATGAGCTTTCCTATTATCTCTTACTAATATACGAAGAGAACAGAATCTACATTTTAACTTGATATTGCACAGAATATTCCAGCTAACTATGCTATTAACTTTGGAAGAGTTTTTGTATGTGAATACTCTGTTCACAATCATGGACTCAATTTCCAGTCAAATTACTTCAGAAAAGATTTACCAGGCCCATTAAAGACTGCATAACATCCAGACTCAAATAGCATCACAGAATAATTTCAGACCTTTTGACACCTGCAAGTATGGTAAGGCATAAATCACAAATCAAAGGATGGCAGGCATAAAAATTCAGAGACCTCTATACAATCAGCTCACACACCTGTAAGTCTTCAGATGGTATTTACGATCTCTTATCATGTGAGGGGCTCGGGACAGAATTGTATTCCGCAAAATCTTTCCAGCTCTGAGGATCTTTTCTGAAGGAACCTTGGTGATCATGGAGAAAAAAAAAAGGGACCAAGACACACAGATTTTAAACTTTCCACAATCTCTTTACTGCCTTCTACAAAACAAAACACAAATTCTCTTTTCCCTAAATTAAAAGTCCTTGCACAGATGCTTATTTTTGCAGAGCAATGTAGTATATATTCAGGATTTTAAGTCTCACGTACTTTCCACATCTAACAGAAAGCATCACTTCAGCTGATACGCATCACACTGTTGGAAATAGGAGTTATTTCCATTTGTCTAGAGGCCTGGCTCTACAGCACACCTACGTCCTATTACCTGTGTAATGGTTTTAGTAGCACGATGTGGGATGTGAGGTTCAATAAGAGGTGTCTGAAAAATAAAATGAAATTAAATACATTTTTAAAGGCTGAGCAGTAAAATAAAATAAGGCTAAAATAAAAAAAACTAACAAAGAAGCTGTAACACAAAGAATGACAGGTAAGTCCAAGCTCTGCCCAACGGACGTGAGTAGAAAAAGCACTCTGAAGACATCCTAAGGACAAACTTGGCTTTTAATGCTCAGCAAATTGAAACAGTGACATGACACGTGAAGATGAATAAACAAATGCATGTTAAGCTTTCTAAAGTACCAATGAAGTGCGCAATGGCCAAACATCACATCAGATCTGAGGCTATGCAGGCATAGCTAGCTCTTCCGCTTGTTGCCCTTGACCCATAGTGGCCACAATAGCATGTCCCTGCCTCTGCCATTCAGTCCCCTGCCACGGAAACCCTCTCCTCCTTCAGCACCTTTTTCTACTCAGCTCTCTTCTCCCTTACAGAGTAACAGAAGAAAACAGGAACGAAGAAAAAGCTCTGCTCCCACTCTCTGCCTTTTCAAAATTATCAGGCCTAGCTGGCCACCCTTTCATAGCTGCTCACCAGAGCTCTCTGGAACACAGGACTACAGGCCAACCACAGAGACCTGGGTAAGGACTTTCACGAAGGGGCTGGTGAAGGGAAAAGAAAAAGAGTAAAGCAAGTGACTTGGTTCTGCAGAAGGAAGAGTGAAAGGGAAGGCTATCAAGTCTCTGCAAGAGAGAAGCGGAGAAGCGGATGAGAGAAATGGGAAAACAGGCACGTAACAAACAGGTGAAGGAGAGGGGAGACAAGGAAACACAGAGGAAAAAGGAAAGCAGAGAGTTAAAGGACAGTAGAAATGCAGACAAAGGAGAACAAAACCAAACTTCAGCAGCCACCTCAGAATGATGGGAAGACATTTTGCTTTGTTGGGACTTGTAGTTAACAGCATGGACCAAATTTACTTCCAGTGTGAAATCTCAGGAGACACAACACGGGGGCTGAATTTGGCTGGTGTTGTGGGCTTGCTGACAGGGCAGATCACACCAAACACAGAGGTCTCCCACAAGGGCAAGACCTTGCACCTCAGCCCATGGCAGCCACGGCTCCCTTACGCCCATGCAGTAAAGGCAGGACAGCCAGGTCAGAGGTACAGTGGAACACATGCCGTGTACTGCTGGGTTGCCAGGTATCGGTTTTCTTAAGCTGGGCATCTGTTCGTTAGCTCCCACAGGATTTTAATGATGTGACAAAGTCCTTGTGGTAATCAAATAGTGCTAGGACCTACGAATGCACTGTGAGACTATAGGTCAGCCGGGAAGACGAAAACACCGGAAGCACATGACAGAAATCAATAAAGATAAGATAATCTTAACAGAGAGGCCTGTACATGGAAAACAGTGCAAATGGTTTTTCATTTCTATTCATAGCTTACAAGAAGTCTCTGAAAAGGCAAATCAATACAATTAAATTTGGATTGCTGATTTTTCTCATTAATAAGTCAACAATTTTTCAAAGACTCACTTAAGTTATAGAATTATAGAATCGTAGAATCATAGAATATATGCAACATTTCTAACAATATAAACATTTCTGTCCCACCAGAAGGGTGGGTAGAACATCCCCCAGTATTTCTTGGTTTCTGGAACTGTGTGGAGCGGGCTTTAGACAGCCTACATTTGCGGTTAAAGCATGCTAAGAATAGCAAGAATCTGTTGAAAGATGCCTCTAATTCAAACAAATCCATTGAATAACAGTTTCGAATGGGTATATAAATAATGACGTCAGAGATATCGTTCTGAGTATTAATAATTTTTGCTTGCATTTTCTTTTAAAAGTATTTCAAGTCCCCATCAAGTTCAATGAGACTGAAGGTAAGTATATACTTAAATGATTGGCTAAATTGGCATTAAAGTAATGATGTAAATTATTTTTAAATTTTACATTCCTAAATGATTTTTTTTTAAATCAATAAAGCACAATATACTCAATCTAGCTTCCAGATTTTAATTCTAGTTAGGAATATACTTCAAAGGAGAGAGAAAATGCATAAGACAAAAAATGTAAGAGACTTTTACAGTAATAGACTAGTGAAAATAAATCAAATTTTGTTCGTTAGAGTTTCTGTTAAGCTACAACAAAAATGCATAAAACTAATAGGTGAAAAAAATGAATATGGATGAAGACTTATCAATAAATTTCCCACCCTAATCAAAACAGAATATAAGAGAGCATTTAGAGGAAATCTGATTCAACCCAGAGGTACAGAAAACACCCAAGGTGAAAGCTAAGGCTCAGCACAAGAACCTGCAGAAAGCAGCAGGTAAGCTTGTTCACCTACATTTGATCCTGACAAATACAGAAGGATCAGCTGTGAAGGAAGGAAGAACATCAAAGTAGAAACAATGGACTAGGAAGAAAAATTCTCATAAAAACAGACTATTGATAGCTAAATTCCTGGAGCAGGCTATGGGGGAGCAAGTGTAAGGTAAAAGGAGTTAAAGAGAGCTGGTAGTTACTTAATGAAACAAGACTAACTACACAAACAATATATCCTAGCACAGAGCTAGAAGTTGTAGTAAAGACTCAACTTAGATAAAGAAAGAGCTCTACACCGAAATACAAGAAGGAAAAGTACAGAAAGGATAAAGTAAGGGGTTTACAAAAGGCAAGTATAAAAAATAATTTGAATAATGGGGGTCAAAATTAGAAAGGAAAATGAGCAAATGAGACAGACCTACCAAGAAATGTCAAGAGCTACAAAAAATACTCCACAAGTACACTAGCAGTAAAACAAAGAGAAGGGAAAGTGTTGATCCACTGCTCAACAGAGGGAAATCTATTGACAGATAATTCAAGAAGGCCAGAGGCAGTTGATTTATTTTTTGTATCAGTGTTCATCAGACACACCAGTGGCAGACAGATGGCTAATATCCTAAGTAGTAGAGTGAAAGGAGTTAAAGCTCAGCCTGAAAAAGCAAAAGAATGGATGAGAAAATATTACATAAATTAGCTATTTTCAGATTGGCTGGGTTTGTAGAATTTCATGCAGGAAACTTGAAGAGCTTGAAGAAACTTAAAGAGGGCTGCAGCCATCTCGGAACCATCAGCAGTCACCTCTGACAATTCCTGACTAAGGCAGGCAGAAAAAAAGGGAAAAGGAGGAGCTGAAAAATTATAGACATGTCAGCTTAACTTGTCTTCCTAGAAAAAGGCCATTTGTAAGCACCTGGAAAAGAACAGGATGTTGAGTCACGTGCAACATATATTAATCAAGAATAAATCATGCCAGACTGATCTAATGTCTTTCCATGACCGGGTAGCAACACATAAAGATTGGGGAAGAAACAGAAGGTTTTCAACCCTTTACTTTAGTAAGACTTCAGCACAGTCTCATATGAAAATCTCATCTGCAAGGGGTAGATTAAATTCTTCCAAAATAGGTGCAAAGCCAGTTGGAAAAGTGTATTTTGAAAGCAATCACCAGTAAAGCACTGTCCAAGTGGCATTCATACCAGAGGTCTGTTCTGAGCAGTGTTCACAAGAATGTATCATATCTGATACTATTAAATATTAACACAGGATAAAGTAGAATGTACACTGATTGATTTTGCAGGAGACTTCAGGATGGGAGGGACTGCACGTACACTGGAGAATAAGTTTACAATTTGCTACAGTTTTGACATTGGTCTGAAGAAAATACAATGCTATTATGCAACACAGATAGCGCTGACTACTTTTCAGGCAGAATCAGATACATAAAGACAGGGTAGGAAACAAGTGCCTTAGCAGTAGTTGCACAGAAAAAGAAATGAGGTTTATAATAGATATTAAACAGAACTGAGTAAGCAATGCCATACTTCTGTGAAAGCAGCAAATACTGTATTGGGATGTAGTAACAGATTAGATACACAATGCAGTTCTGCTTTAGTCAGCCTAGCTAAGACCTAAGCTAAAGCACTGTGTCTCATTTGCCCACTTCAAAAGTATCTAAACCAACTGTACAGGATTTAGAGGAGAGCAACAAGAATAATCAGAAAGCACAACATAAATAATCAAAGTTGTTCAGCTAAGGAAAAGGCAAGTCTTAGCAGAAGTGTGAAAAAAAAGCCTTCAGTTTTAACTTGAAAAGAAGAAAGAAGTCAACTAGTTCATCGTGCAGAGATCAAGAAATAATTGCTGTAAGAAAGATTCAGGTTAGGACATCGGTGAAGCTTTTCTAACAGTGTGGACAGTGAATACTGGCACAGATTGACAGGGAGGTGTGGTTCCTCCATCTTCGCGGCTTGGGAGGATACATAAGGTAACTGTCAGGAGTGACACAGCTATAGTGAACTGTGCATGTGGCTCAGGGATGGACGAGGTGCTTTCCTGAAGTACCTTTTAGCCTCACTGTGTGGCACTGTGCAATTTTCAGACACCTTTACATGTCTAAAATTAGTTCAACCACAAGGTGGTGCTTAAAGAGATGATGAGAGATACAACCTCCAGAGCAGCAAGCCTGGACTCAAAAAAGCAAAGTCGTCACTCCTACTGAGGAACAAGGTCCAAAAGAGACACTCAGCAAAGACCCCACCCAAAGTTACACCCTTTGAAAGCTACTGCGGTGAACTCTGTGCTAGCGATGAGATGAAATGCAACAAATGGAACCACGGTGCTTGGACTGAGTTTGCTAAAGAAAGGTAAGTCATGCTTCAAA